CACAGCCCAGGGCAACATGAAATCTCCCCTTCACAGAGAGAGGAAAAACTATGCTTGCAGGGGTCCCCTCTAGATAGTCTTAGGAGTAGGTTGTGGAAGGTAAACAAACAGAAGTTGAGAGAAGAATATAGACAGTTGTGATCACCCCAATAAATAAATAAATAAATAAATAAATAAATAAATAAATTTAAAAAAAAAACTTTTGGTGCTTGAAACCACCACTACCTCCGAACCTGTTTTTGCCGACCCTGATTTTCACTGCGCACCGAGTTTGGCCGAGCCGGGGCAGTTTCATCGAAGAAAGAAAAAGGGGAAAAAAAAGAAAAAGAAAAAGAAAAAAAAGAGACTTCCCGAACACCTTGATAACCACCAGATACATTCTATGACTGTGCCCGGGAAAAAACAGAGAAGCAACAAAAAAAAAAGAAGGAATCCCTTTTCCTGTGATTGAGGGCAGATACATGATGCTACAGCAGTGAGACAGTTACGTGCCACCTGTGAAAGACGCCCTGCCTGGCTGGCAGGGCACTACAAGGATTTCAAAACAAAAAGAAAAAGAAAAACGACCTGCAATCCCTTTTCCGACATAGTGGCCAGATACATCCGTCCAAGCACTGGTATAACTTCCACCCTCGTGAGGGCCTTTCCCCACATCCCTGTAGTGGAGACTAGTGGTGGTTGAAAAAAAAAAAAAAAAACCAACCCAGTCCAGAAAAAATCCCCGCACAGCCCCCAAAAAACACTCAACCCTCCGCCGCCCATCACAACCCCGACCGACCTTATGAACTGACCAATTTGCCGAAAGCCTGCAACGACCGGTCCGTCTCCTAGCCGCGACCGCACCCTTTCTCACCTCCCCCTAAAGCCCGAAAACACCCCCGCCAACCTCGATTGAAGTCCACGACAGTCCACGACATTACCCGAAAAGGTAAGAAAACCTTGCAACCCAGGTAAGCACATGCATCCCCTTGATTGTGAGAGGCAGCTATGCTTGCAGCGATCCCCTGTATATTAGGCTTAGCAAGTTAGGAGTAGTGGCAGGTAGATAGTGAAAGGTGAATTTGAGGAAGAATATAAATTAGTTTAAAAAAACAACTTTGAACGACTCGCTGCAAACGGAAGGAAAAGAAAAAGGAGTTCGGATTCGGACGACATATGCAGCGAAATACATTCTTTTACGTCACTTAGTCCACTTACCATTCACAGCAAATGTTTGGGCCTCTCTCTCTCTCTCTCTCTCTCTCTCTCTCTCTCTCTCTCTCTCTCTCTCTCTCTCTCTCTCTNCTCTCTCTCTCTGTCTCTCTCTCTCTCTCTGTCTCTCTCTCTCTCTCTCTCTCTCTCTCTCTCTCTCTCTCTCTCTCTCTCTCTCTCTGTCTCTCTCTCTCTCTCTATCTATCTATCTATCTATCTGTGTGTGTGTGTGTGTGTGTGTGTGTGTGTAAGTGTGTAACCCGCATAATAAGACATGATTACAGTATGATACGGAAACCGCATCATATTCAAGCTCCGAAATAATCTATCGGTGCACCTTAAGAATGAAAACTTGTAGGCGTGGTGCAGACACATCCGGTACTCGGAGGTGGGGAATGACTATGCCGGACTGCACGAGCAAGCTCAGGCACAAGAACTTTTAGGCGTGGTGCAGACAGAACGAACTGGAACACACAATCAAACAAACACCACAGGACGGGGAAAGGAAGCACAATAAGGCAAAAGGCAAGGAGGCAACGACAACAAACTGCAGAAAGGCACAAGGACGGGGGGGCACGGGGGAGGTGGGAGGGCAGACCATACATAACTGCACACAACAAGGAAAGACAAAAGAAAAGTGCAAGTACACAAAGATACCCCAAGCATAAGACATCAGGCAACATCAAAGGACAAKGGGTGGAAGGCACGGGGGAGGCGGGAGGGCAGACGTCACTCAAACACAGAAAGCAGGCAAAGCAAAAAAAATACAAGTCCCCAAAAGCAGCGAAGACCGAAAAAAATTAAAAACAAAAATTAAAAACCGATGATGACAAGATTGTTTCGACGGAGTTGCACCGACTCATCAGGAGGCTGAACCCTCAACAATCTGCGGAATCCCCGTATTTGATGGTTTGGGTCATGAACCCTTTGACCCTTGTTGAAGGCAGACTGTCCCCAAGCGGAACATAGCAGCGGGCAGCAACCATGCGGAGCACTAGGCAGCGCAGTAGAGGCAACACGGCTACACAACGCCAAAAACGACTGCAACAAACGACACGGCACGCCGAACTCGCAGCAGGGCACCCAAGCAGTGAAGCACCAGGCAACACTACCAAGACAACCGCACTGCAAGGGACGAGAGGGCAAGCGAACCAGCAGCAGAGCGACCATGCTAAGGGGCACAAGGCAACCCCAACACGGCAACCAAACTACAGGGCACTTAAGCAAAGGACACAGAGGCACGACCAGCGGGCGGGCGACAAGGCAGCGAAGCAGTGAAGCGCAAGGCAACACCACAACCCGGCCACACCACACAGCGAAGACAGCAGCATGCCAAGAACGACCTGCGAGGCAAGCAGAACGGGCAGCAAGGCAGTGGTAGAGCGCAGACGGGGTCGTCCACACATCCAACACGGAACAAAGCAGCACATCACCTACTCACATCACGGGTGAACCCCACAGGCTGTTGGTTCCCACCACCCACTGAGCCAGGGAAACACTCCGCCGAGCATCCGTCATCACCTATAGGCAGCACAGACATCCCGAACCGAGCGGCCCCCCTAAGAGTGCAGTTGGCACTCCAAACGAGGAACCACCGACTGTTTGGCACTACTTAAGGGTGCTCGGTTGGGCACACAAAGAAAATACTCAAAAAAAAACAGAGGGAGGACAGACAACAGGAAAAAGACTGACGAACATAAAACTGATTGTGTGTGTGTGTGTGTGTGTGTGTGTGTGTGTGTGTGTGTGTGTGTGTGTGTGTGTGTGTGTGTGTAAAATTTGATACGAAACCCCCACGTGAACAGATGTGGCGAGCTGCGCAGAAAAAGCACATCAAGCAACATACCAGGAAATAAATTGTCCACTTCATATGGCATGACCAAAACAAGCAAATAAAGAGAAGCTGAATGCCCTACTGTTGAAGCCAAACAGACTAGCTCATGGGAAGGGGGAAGGGAGCAGCAAACAGGAGGTAATGCACAGTGTCACTAAGAAGACGTATGAGGCACATAAACGACGAGCAACAACAAAACACATAGGCTGGAGGGCACGGGGGAAGAGGGCGGGCACAAAAACACGATAGGACGAGGCAAAGACAGTGAGTTGAGAAACAAGTAGCACCCACGGAAGACATAGACATAGGCTTGAGGGCAAGGGCGAGGTGAGCAGGGAGATGGACAACACAAGTCAGCAAAAGCAACAACAGTAAATCAAAAGACAAGAACTGAAAAAAATAAAAACTGATGATAACAAGATTGTTTCGTTGGAGCTGCACCGACTCATCAGGAGGCTGACCCCTCGACAATCTGTAGAATCTCCATATTTGATGGTTTGGGTCATGAACCCTTTGACCCTTGTTGAAGGCAGACTGTCCCCAAGCGGAACATAGCAGCAGGCAGCAACACTGTGGAGCACCAGGCAACACAGTAGAGGCAACACGGCTGCACAGCGCCAAAACCGTGTAGTGAAGCAGAAGACAACACAAACAAGGCAACAGCACTGCAGGGAACGACGGGGCGAGCGGACCAGCAGGTCCGCGAACGTGGAGCGGGGCACAAGGCACCAGCAACAAGGCAACCAACCTACAGGGCACACAAGCAGCAAGCACTGAAGGGACGGCCAGCGGATGAGCAGCACGGCAGCGAGTAGCGAAGCACAAGGCAACACCAACAACACGGCCACACCACACAGCGAACACATCAACCTGCAAAGAACCACATGCGAAGCAAGCAGGACAGGCACCAGGGCAGCGGCAGAGCGCAGACGAGGACGTCCACACATCCAACACGAAGCAAAGCAGCACATGACCTACTCATATCACGATTGAACCCCGCAGACTGTTGATTCCCACCACCCACTTAGCCAGGGAGTCACTCCAACGAACATCCGTCATCACCGACCGGCAACACAGACGCCCCGAACCGAGCAGCCCCCATTAGAGTGCAGTAGGAACTCCAAACGAGGAACCACCAACTTTTGGCACTACTTAAGGGTGCTCGGTTGGGCACACAAAAGGGTTAGAAAAAAT